ATTTTCCTTCACCAGACTAGGGAAATTTTCTGTCATACTTTCTTCAAACAGGTTCTGTATCCCTTGCTTGCTTGCTTTCTTCTCCTTCTGGTACCTCTATGATGTGAATGTTGTTATATTTCATGTCTCAAAATTCCCTTATACTATTCTCCTGCTGCTTATTTTTTATTTTTGCTGTTCTAATTGATTTTTTTTTCTGTTTTGTCTTCTAATTCACTGACTCAATCATCTACTTTGTCCAGTCTGCTAGCTATTCCTTCCAGTGTATTCTGTATTTCAGATATGGCATTCTTCATTTCCAACTGATTATTCTTTTTGATTTCCATGTCCTTTTTCATGCTGCTGTTATTCTAAGTTCTTTAAGCATCCCTATGACTATTACTTTGAACTAACTAATAAATTGCTTGCCTTCATTTTATTTAGCTCTTTTTCTGAAGATTCCTCCTATTCTTTCATTTGGGGCCTGTGTCTTTGGCTCTCCATTTTGGCGTCTTTTGTGTTTGTTCCTATGTGTTAGACATAACTATGATTCCCAGTCTTGGTGGAGTGGTCTTCTGGTAGTAGGTGGGACCAAGTGGCACAGTGTCTTTGTTCTCCTGAGCTGGGTGCTCTAGGAATGCCTCTTGTGTGGGTAAAGTCCCCCTGTTGTAATTGGGTCTTGATTGATGTTGACCCTTTTCTGGGTGGGATTGATCCTCAGTCTGGCTGAGTTTGAACCCTTAACCTGGCATGCAAATTGCTCTGCAGGTGCAGTCTTAAGGTGCCTTGATGGGCTCAGAGGCACAATTGTTAACCCTTCAGGCTGGGTATCTATAGTAGTATCTTTATCACCATGTTTGAGATGCTGCCCCCTGAGGCAGGGTTGTTCTAAGCAGGGCCTGGAGCCTGCCAGGGTCCACCTTGTATGTCTAGTTGGGTCAAGCTTTGGTGTGATCTGAAGCTCACCACTAGTTGTGTTGGTTGTGTACTTTTGGATGCGTTTCAGATGTAGATTGCTGTAAGACATTGTGTGTAGACTATGGCCTTTGGCTACCTGTATGTAGTTACCACTCAGTTCACTGTTTATGTCCTCATCTGCAAGACCTGTATGTGTGTGGGAGGGATCAATCTGTGTACATGGGTCAGCTTTATTCAACTTAAGAGCAGGGGGCAGATCTGTGGTCAGCCCAAGGCTCCCTGAGGTCCACCTCCACCTTTTAGCTACTCCACTCCCTCCATGAGTTGCCTGATCTTCCTCCAGAGTCTTCCAAGGAGAATCTGTAGAATGTACCTAGGCTAGCCTAGCTCAGGCTAGTGGACCACCTGCTTGGACATTACACAGTCAGGCACTTAGTGAGAAGAAATTAGTCTCTGCTTCAAAGCCAAACTCCTCAGTCTCTACCAGAGACTCCAACTCAGTTTCCCCTAAGGGGCTTGCTACAGGATCAGGTTGGCATCTTCTCCTCAGGGGTGGTTTCAGCTACCCTGGGCTCAGGAGGATTGATCTAAAGCAAGCATTTCTTCTTGGTCCCAGACTACAGCTGCTGTGGGTCTCACATTTAGAATGTCCTGCTCTGAGCTACAGAACTGCGCCCAGCGGGCATATTTAGTATTTCACAGGGCTGAACCAGTTTCCTGTTGTGGATGGTTTTCATGCCTTCAGGAGAGGGGAAGGCGCTCTAGCTCTCCTTCCCAGGGAGCTTGGATCAGCCTCCCCACAATGCAGTCACAGAACCCAGCACTCAACTGTCTGTCTCCCTGACAGAAGCCTCCCTGGGGGGGGGGGGGGGATACAGTCCAAAAATCACAGCCCTGCATGGCACTGGCACCGTTGTGCCACCAGACAAAGCATGAGGGGGTAAAAAAAAAAATCAGTCCTGTGCAGGACTCTGATCCCTCCTCACACTGGTTTCTGCAAAGTGGGCACCAAATTTCCAGCTTTAATTGGGTTCCCAACTCTGCAGTGTGGGCCAAGCATCCCAGACCTGCACTGCTCCTGGTGCTGCCAACCCAGTAGGATGGGGCACTCTAGGAGGCTGCGCAGGTGGGGGGAATGGTTCTGACTGTTCAATCAAGGTGCGAGAGACCTTCCTCATTTCCCCAAGCCAAATAGTTTAGTCACTCACGGGGGCTCTGCATGATGTCTTTCAAGAAAATAGAGGGTCCCTCAACGTTACTGTTCGGTGCAGCCCACAACCCCTTACTGGACTCAAACACAGCATCATAGACTCTCCAGCAGTCAGAGCCAGGAGCAAGCATCTCAGACTAGGCTAACAATAGGAGCAGCACTCCTTCACTGGAAGGTGCATCCAAGTCTCCCAGGCTGACAGTCCCTCTTGTTCCCTCTGCCTGATGCTAAGTGGGCTGTTCTTCCTGTCTCTGCTGCTCTAGTTTTGGAATCCCTGCCTGGGATCAAGACCCCTCACTCCAATGGGGAGGAAGCTTTGCAGCTGATATCCCTCGGGCCTCTCAGCCACCACACTTTCTTGAGGAGGGCTCCCCTGTCCACAACACTCCTCTTGCCAGTATCTATGTAATTTCTTCAGTGCTCCTTAGATATAATTCCAATCCCCTATACTTTACTTGGTTATTCAAGTTGACTGCGCAATATTTTAACTATAAATCCCACCCCTGGCTGGGAGCAAGGGCATCCAGCTACTCTGCAGCCATCTTGAAACTCTTCTCTGGATTTTGACATGCAAATATATTATGAAATCTTGAGGAAGTGAATAGAAACCCAGCCATTGTAATAGACTATAAGACTTTCCCCTTCAATTGTCCCCTTTAAATTCAATAGCATTTAAATACCTGCTATCCTACAATTTCTGGAATTCCCACAAATGGTTGGTTCCTACCTAAACAATTAGGAAGTTCCTCATATGTGAGAACCTATCAAAGTTTGATGCCGCCCTCTCTTAATTCATAGTGGCTGTAAGAATTTTTTCTCTGGTTCTCTCTTCATTGGGTGTTCACAAATTCAGTCCACTCTCCTAGCTATACATCTTAATTACTTTGGGATTGTATTTTAGCCTTGTGATTATAATTCCTGTTAGCAATTATTCTATCATCTAAACTCAGAAATTCTCCTGGTATCTCCTTCTAAGGAGAATACTGTCAAGTCATAAATAAAATTCTTGTAAAATTTTCTATACAATAAAAAAAGTGTCAAGTAAGCATGCTTCTCCTTCAAAGATACCTGCATCCCAACAGGGGCTTATAATGGATTGAGTTCCCAAATTGATTCCAAAGCTATAAGAACACGTTTGACCCCAACTAGTTAAAAACTAAGTACCAGTTAATAAAAAATGTTTTACTACTTTCAAGGGAATAGAATTAAAACTTGGTTTACAATACTTTTGTCTGTTGTTTTAGGGAGGTCTCTATGGAATTTAAGACAAGAATAAAAATAATTTGTATTGAGCTATCTTGTAAAGAATGAATATTCCAGGAGCGATACCACTCCTCATAATACAGCATTGTAATTATTATAAGTCAAATAATCAGAGTAGGAAGAGATAAAAAAACAACAACCAATATCAAACCATTTGGATAATTTTATTTATTCTATTGATACTTTGCCCATGAAGAAACAATTTATCACAATAAATGCTGCCCTACTTATTCTCAATCTGTAGTCTGAAAATCAGACTGTGTGTCAAGGAATAAAAATATACTCAGAATATGCAGATACAATGGACTTTACAGTATTTCTTTCCCCTGAGTAGCTAATTATAGTTGAATTTCATTAGGGCAGATCATTATTTTAAGGAATTATATCGTAAATTCTTTCAGAAAACAAATATTTTGTTAATTTGCATTTTAAAAGTTTTATCTTAGTATCTGAGAGATGCATAGATTTGGTTTGGCTAGAGAAAAAAAATAGTGACCCACAAGCCAATAGAAGAAAAATGATTACCTTCAAGATGAACTGAGGTAAGAGTATTATAAGTATACAATCAGTAGCATGTCTGTCATTTTCCTACAGTTTTTTAAAAATCAATCATATCATTCCTACAGTTCTTTTAAGGAAACTAAAATTAACATTAAACACCTTTAATTTAACCTAAGTGTTGTGCTAGTAGTGAAATACATGTGTTAAAAGAAGTAACTATTCTATTCATATTCCAGTTTAGTTCTAAGTCTTAACCCCATCTGAATGAGGGACATCAGAATAAAAAAATGCTATGGCACTTAGGTTAAAATTTTAGACATCAGTTCTTCACAATGATATATGGTTGAGTATATTCTCAGAAAAAGAACGATGATTCAAGTCTTGTTGCTTTGGTATAACTAAGAGCAGAAATTGCTGCTAATTATTGGTCCTTATACTGTTCTTCCTTTCCATAATTTTCCCCTTTGCTTGATGTTTACCTTTCAATAGTTATAGATCAAGTGCATCTTTTCTAAGTCGAACAAGATTTAACTACTATATTCCCTGCTAATTTGGGTCTGCCCTTTGATTAACATCACTATTAAATCTGAATATGCGCTGGTTGGTGTGGCTTAATTGGCCCAGCATCATCCCATGCATCAAGAGGTCACCGGCTATATTCCTGGTCAGGGCATATGCCTGGGTTATGGGCTAGATCCCCAGTAGGGGGCATGCAGGAGGCAGTGATAGATGTTTCTCTCTCATTGATGTTTCTCTCTCTTTTCCTCTCTCTCTAAAAATCAATAAAAACATATTTCAAAAAAATATGAACATTTTGTTTTGGGGGAAAAAAAGAGAAATTGTGTATTATTTACACTAATGATAAATTTTATGCCAAATGTTTAACATCCTCAAGAATGTCACACACAGTACATGTCACATGTTCCCATTAAATACATTACATAAGTTTTCTTCTTTTTTTACTTTACATTTAAAACATTTTCCCTAGAATTTTAAACTATAATTCAAAAATGTTACATTTTATCATTATCCTTTAAATTCTCTGGAATACTTTCTAAATAATTTCCTAATAATGTTACATAACTACAAAATTAAATGAGAAAGTCCTTATTACATAATAATGAGAGGGAACATAAAAACTAAAAGAAAGCTATTGATTAATGAACACTATGGATTTTATAGGATTCACTGTGACAAATAAACACTTTTTAAATGTCAAAGAATATCAGATGAAACTTTTATTTTGAATGTGATTTAGAGTCACAGGATCAAATTTAAGAATCATAACTTACTGCTTGATCAAAATTATCATAAAATATAACAAATTATATTTTAACTCAAAGTCACAAACCACTTTCTAAAGAAAAATTCCCTACTCTATGCTATCATAATATTTCCTGAGGAATACTGGCAAAGAATGTAGTTTTATTGAGCCACAAATGGTTAAAAGTAACATTTTAAGGTTATTTAAATAAAATATACATACAATAGTCAAAATAAATATTAAGATTATTTTCTTTGGAAAGTTAGCTTGCAAATGAAAAGAAGAAATCCAAATCCGCATACTGTAATAGCTGTCCTCTTCAAAATTCTATTATTCCATGTAGATACTTCTTCTATTAATGGTATATGAGTTGGATCATTTTCTCTTTCGTTTTGTAACTAATATTTTGCATGGGGGAAAAAGGAGTTAATGTACATGTAGTACACTGAAAATAGAAATATATTTGATCTAAAAAATATAATAATATATCCATGTTAATGCATGATTTAGATGTAGCCAGTGCAAGATTCTTATGTAAGATTTAAAGTGACCACATATGTCTTTAGTCTTTCTTTCACCAGGATTCATTATAGTAAACCATGAGTTTCACATTAAAAATAAATGTTCTTATAGTTATTATATTTTAATATCATGTTTTTGTCATAAGTTAAAGTTTCTTTAATATCAACGTTTCTATTTCTACCTAAGAAATGATAATTGCATTTTTCCTTCTGTATTAAATATCACTTGGTTTCTTATAAAAAAGTTAATTGTTCTTATAACGTACCTACAATATGTAAATCTTAACAAAAGCTGTAAGATATGACGCTAATGCTAGAAGTTTAATCCTTTATTTAAATATAATTGAGGAACAAACATCAATAAAAACCTAAGTGGTTTTTCTAGCACTTTTCCGCAATGAAAGTACATGACCCAGTTTCTCAGCTTCTATACACAGACCTTACTTGCTAAAATGTTCCCCAAATCGTGTGTGTGTGTGTGTGTGTGTGTGTGTGTGTGTGTGTGTGTGTGTGAGAGAGAGGGGGGGGGGGGGGGGAGAAAGGGAGGGAAGAAGGGGACACGGAGAGGGAGGGAGAGGGAGAGAGAGAGAGGAGACAGTTGTTGGTGGAGGAGGAGAAGAGAGAAAATGAACAGAAACCAAAAGATTCTTGAAAGATAAAAATAATCAGGCACATTTATAGAGCAATATTTACTAAAAGCATCCTGTACTGGAGTGGTGACAAATACTTTCATCATTAGCAAGAATAACTACTTCTAAAATCTACAGTATAAATATTTAATTTTAAAAGCCTGCAAAATTAATTTTCAATTTATAGTAGAAACAGACATCAGTGCCAATCTCATTAATACTGTATTCTTGGTCTAACTTCCAAATGGCTTCATTCAGCAACAGATTCCTTTTTGACACTGATGTTCCATTTACTGAATCCTGAGACAGTAATTCCTTTTATTAACCAATTACTTAGAATGACCCTTCCTGACAGGAGCTTGTCAGTGTGTTGGTTTGAAAGAGAGTGATGTGGTGCTAAAGTCCAGTCTTGACCTCTCCTACCCTCTCTCTGTTATCTCCATATACTTATGGTAACTCATATGGTTCTTTTAAAAATTCCCTTCAGTTATTATTGGTAAACTTTCAAATATCATAAGCTAAATAGGCATGATAGCATATTTCCAAATTTGGAAGCTCTTAAGTTCTTTAAATAAAATTTCACTATGGTGATTAAGACTAATTCAGGAAAAAACCCCCAAAAAACAATGCACTAGCTTGATCCAAAATTAACTTCCCTGCCCAAAGAACTGTATAAGCTATTATTATTAACCAAGGCTAGCCCTCACATAGAAATGTACAGATTCAAGATAAAGAGGGTCACAGAAAAAAGGTCTATTTAGCTAAAGAAAGCTGAAATTTCTGTTTATAGTCACATTAAAATAAATACAATACTTTATTTGATTATTTATGTTTTAGAGTCAAAGTCACCCCTAGAGCAGTATTTCTTAATTTCATTCCTTTAAGAAAAATCTGGTGTCTCTCTAATTTCATCTCAATCTTCCACCCCCGCGCCCAAAATGTTTTCATTTCATCTTGAAGAAATCAAATAATTGAGGCAAAGATGTCTTAGGGAATTTCCCACACTAAACATTAAAAGTTGATGCTTTGCAGGAGATATTTTTACATAACTCCTTCCCAATTTCCCTTGGATTCCCATGAAAAACACCATACTAAGTAAAATCAGTATCATTTTCCAGACGATGCAAGTAGTGAAGATGAACAATGTTATAATTTTCATGTTTTTAGCAAGTCAGGCTCTCTATAGCCTGTGTAGCACAATTTGCCTGACATACAGAAGGCATTCTTATGTTTGTTGAATAAATAAATGTAAGAGATAATATAACTTCCATGATGCCTCGTTCTCTGGAATGGAGGTATCCTCTATAATAATTTTGAAATAGATTGCTTATTTGCTCCATTTAAAATATCTTTATTTTCCTATTTTTTGTAGAATTTGCTTCTCAATTTTCTGCTCACTTTTTAAAAAGACTTCTTTTGACTGAACATATCTTTGTTAATAGCTAGAATGACAATTACTTGGAACATGTATCAAATTTATTGAGAGTAAAACTTTTTCAAAAATATATTTTATTCATTTTAGAGAGGAAGGGAGAGGAAGAAAGAGACAGAAACATCAACAATGAGAGAGAACCATTGATTGGCTGCCTCCTGCACAACCCCCACTGGGGATGGAGCCTGAAACCCAGGCATGTGCCCCTGGCCGGAATCGAACCCGGGACCCTTCAGTCTGCAGGCCGACCCTCTATCCACTGAGCCAAACCAGCTAGGGCGAGGAAAACTTTTTTTATGAAAATATGAAATAATTTATGAGTTGATGCTATAAAATTTAATCCATAATCTAATGTTCACATCATATATTAAAAAACTTTATTTAACAAATACATTTCATACCTATAAACTTGAAGAACTCAGAATTGAGTTCTTTACTCAGGTAAAAGTGTTTTCCTTTGTTAACTATCTTCAAAAGAGTTCCCAATTTCAGCAGCTTAGATTTTGTTACAGCCTATTTTCTGAAAGGGGGAAAATCACCTGTCTTTGAATCCAGATATATACTTCTATGTGAGTATAGAAACAATAACAAAAAAGCCACATACTTTTTTTTAAAGTTAAATTATAAAAGATATTATAGAAAGTCTAAAAAGTAGAATGAATAGCCCAGCCGGTGTGGGTCAGTGGTTGAGTGTTGACCTATGAGCCAGGAGGTCATGGTTCGATTTTCTGTCAGGGCACATGCCCAGGTTGTGGGTTCCATCCCCAGAGTGTGGCATGTAGGAGGCAGCCGATCTCTCATCATTGATGTTTCTCTCTCCCTCTCCCTTCTCTGAAATAAAAATGTATTTTAAAAACCAGAACAAGTATTTTTATCCACAGTCCTATCTCATTAACACAGATAATGAACTTTCATTTTGGTAATTTTTTATCTGCATATTTACATATAAGTAAAACTTACAAATATAACTTCATATCTTTAAAAAGCTGATATTTCATTTTCATTATTTTCTCAACTGGCTGCAAATCATTATATTAAGTGTACAATAATTTATTTATTCATTTTGCTAATATAGGACACTCATGGTACATACAATTTTGAATTCATTAAACTATTATTGAAAGATACAAATATTTTTATGGTTCTTAGCACATCTTGTCAAACTGTTTCTAAAAGGGATTGTGATGCCTGTTTCATATGAAACTATAAGTTTTGTGAACTCTAACCAGAAATGGGTTAATACACTTATCCCTGCTAATGTAAAAGATGAAAATGATCTATCATTGTTTTTTAGTATGCATTTCTTTGATGAAAATTTGTTTCCTACGTATACTTCTTCCTTTGGAAACTGTCTCTTTCCAACTGTTTAGTGGTAGCTTACGTTGCTCTTGTCAGAATTACTTCATTGTCTAACATACTATCCTACAAATTATTTCCCCCATTTTTATGCTAAATATATACCTTCTGAATTAAGTCTTTTAGTTTGCAGACCTCTTCATTCAAATCTTCAACATTGCTAACCAGTTCTTCACAAACTGAAGTAAAATTCCGAGGCGAAGCCCATTCAAGTACTATCTGTCAATATTTTCAAAAGTTGCATGTTAAATAATAGAAAACAACTTCCACAACGTCATATCCACAAAAATTATACAACATTAAATTATTTAACGGAAAAGCATTTTTTTTTTCAGGATAAATCCTAACACCGAAAGAAGTCAGTAACATTATACAAATAGTCAAACCCAGTTTCTTGAATGAATTTACTAAATATATGTAGTACATATAATTTTATGGAGACTAACATTAGTAATAATGATATTTATGATGAAAAATAAATTCATGAAAGTTTGAAGAATGACAGGATTCCCATATTAATGTTATAAAAAATTATAGGAAAACAAGTACATTAAAATGTTTACCCTATAAAGTAAAAAGCTATAAAGCTAAAGCCAAATCACATTAAAAAAAAAAAACCTCTACAAAACAGGTTTGCTTTTATGGGTCACTTACTTTTCTCTATTTAAAATTTCCAGTCTCCTCCCACAACTATATCAAAATTACTACTAAACTACAGAACCACCAACATTAGAAACTGCCTGAAGTCTGACTGAATGGAAATTCTTCAACTAGGAATTTAAGAAGAAGCCACATGAAGACTAGTAAAAGGGGCAGAGACTCGGAATGGGATGGTCTTACCAGTGGTTCTCAACCTTCCTAATGCCGCGACCCTTTAATACAGTTCCTCATGTTGTGGTGACCCCCAGCCATAAAATTATTTTCGTTGCTACTTCATAACTGTAATTTTGCTACTGTTATGAATCGTAATGTAAATATCTGATATGCAGGATGTATTTAGGCGACCCCTGTGAAAGGGTCGTTCGATCCCCAAAGGGGTCGCGACCCACAGGTTGAGAACCGCTGTCTTACACCCATGTGTAGCAGACAAAAATTGGCAGGGATATATTGGCTGCAGAGGTCCCTGCTGAGGAGCAAGGTATTCCAGCCCCATACTAGGCCCCCAACCCAGGAAAAGAAGACCCTGCAAAAATCAGCAGGGGCCCTAGTGGGGTAGCTCAGTTGGTTAGAACATTGTCCTGACATGCCAAGGTGTGGGTTCAATTCTTGGTTAGAGCACATAGAAGAATCAACCAATGATTGCATAAAATAAGTGGAACAACAAATGGATGTTTCTCTCTCCCTTCCTCTCTAAAACCAATAAAAAATAAATCAAAAATTAAAAGCTGGGATGGAGGATGAAGGGGACAGAGTGGCTGAAGTCCCAGGCAGTTCCTTTTAAAGGGTCTGCATACAGACTTACTGAGACTCACTCTTTCTGAATTCCAGCACCAGGGCAGCAGCTCAAAAGGCACCAGAGACATAGAAGGAAGAACTGAATTGTCCACCATCAGGGCAAGAGCTAGAGGGGCAGCTCTATCCCAGAGAGAAGTACTGGCAGAGGTTATCATTCCTTTGATGAGCCCACCCCCCACAGAGCCAGTAGGCAGGCACCATATCTAAGACTCCAACAAACTGCCTCACCTGTTTGCTCCACCCTGGTAATTCACTGAGACTCTGCCCGATGCAACTTTGGGGCCCACCCAAGCTGTTTCCAGGGGCTTTTCCAAACGAATGACCTATTTTGGCTCATGCCTCAGATTTTTCTAAAATCTCACAAATAAGCAGCACCTGGCCTCAGGGAGTCCTATACCTCTTGCAAAGTGGCCCTAGGCCCAGAACTAGCCACAGCTGGCCTTAGTTCACAGCTTGGCCTCTCCTGGGCACCTCTAAGCACAGCACAGGCACCAGCCATCTGCAGATTGCTTTATAGCTCATGCTGGGTGGACCTAGGCCGGTGACGGTGAACCTTTTGAGCTCGGCGTGTCAGCATTTTGAAAAACCCTAACTTAACTCTGGTGCCATGTCACATATAGAAATTTTTTGATATTTGCAACCACAGTATAAAAAAGATTTATATTTTTGATATTTATTTTATATATTTAAATGTCATTTAACGAAGAAAAATCAACCAAAAAAATGAGTTTGCGTGTCATAGGTTCGCCATCACTGACCTAGGCAGAACACAGGCAGCAGCTGACCATGGCCTGCACCTCTAGGGAGGCCTCAGAGCCAGTTACAGCTTTAGACAGCATCAACACACCACCACCCTATCACCTCCACAAGCAACACACCGAATGGGTGGACTCAGCAGGCACCAGAGACCCAACAAATAAGTTCTGCTCAGTGGGGTGAGCCCCAGCACAGCTGATCCTGCACAGTGGTCAGAGGTCAGTGGTCATGGCAGCCCTTGCAGCTGATTGACCTAGGTCAGTGGTCTGCAAACTGCAGCTCGCGAGCCACACGCGGCTCTTTGGCCCCTTGAGTGTGGCTCTTCCACAAAATACCACGTGCGAGCGTGCATGTACAGTGCGATTGAAACTGTGGCCCATGCACAGAAGTCGGTATTTTGTGGAAGAGCCACACTCAAGGGGCCAAAGAGCCACATGTGGCTCTCGAGCCGCAGTTTGCTGACCACTGACCTAGGGGTAAATCCCTCCCATTAATGTGTGAATAGCAATAAAGGATCAACTACAAGAGGAGGGTGTATGTATACAGCCCACATGGGGGGGTACATCTCGAGTGCCCAGTTTGGGTGATCAAAGAGGCTATGCCACTGGATCCTACAGAATACCTACTACATTAGGCCACTCTATGAAGCCTGAGAAATGTAACAGCTCTACCTAATAAATAAAAACAAACACAGGGAGGCTTGCAAAATAGAAACATGTCCCAAATGAAAGAACAAAACAAAATATGGAAAAAGAACTAAAAAAAAAAAGTGAAGACAAGCGACCTATCAGATGCAGAATTCAAAACACTGGTTATAAGGATGTTCGATGAACTTAGTGAGAGTTTCAACAGCATTAAAAAAGGACAGTCAGAAATGAAGGATGCAATAACTGAATGAAGAATAATTTTCAGGGAATCAACAATAGAGTAATAGATGAAGTTGAGAATGAATCAAATCAGTGATTTGGAATACAAGGAAACAAAAAACACCCAATCAGAACAGAAAAGGAAAAAAGACTCCAAAAATATGAAGAGAGTATAAGGAGCCTATGAGACCACTTTAAGCGTACAGTAAAACCTCAATATAATGGATTAATTTGAGCAAGGAGGTGTCCATTATAAGTAAAGTTCATTATGTAATAAAATAGGTTTTCCAAATGCATATGTTAAAAAATTGACAAATTAGCCTACTGGTTTTTACTTATGTAGACATGTTTGTGTAATTAAAATTAAATATGTATGAAAAGTTTAATTCCACAGACAAGCTTCCTATATGCATTACAAAAATTTTTAATGTATACTGAATAGGTCAACTAACTCCATGCATTCACCAGTCACAGCAAATAAACAAATACACACAGCTGGAGAGTGGCCTAGTGCACATTAAAACTGCTGCAGAAAGTAATGCCATGAGACAACAGAACCAATCACCACAGACAAAGTGGTGTGATCATGTGCCAATCATTCTGCAAACATTGTTTACAAGTGGTGCCTCATTATTAAATATATAGATTATAGCCTGACAGGCATGGCTCAGTGGTTGAGTATCCACCTAGGAACCAGGAGGTCACAGTTCGATTCCTAGTCAGGGCACTTGCCCAGGTTGTGGACTCAATTCCCTGTAGGGGTCGTGCAGGAGGCAGCCAATCAATGATTCTCTCTCATCATTGATGTTTCTATCTCTCTCTACCCCTTCCTCTCTAAAATAAATAAAAATATATTTTTAAAAATATGTAAATATATAGACTATAATTGTAGATATATAATATTTACTTATGTCAGTGAAATTACTACAGTGTTTTTCCAAAATATGGTCTATTTGTAAAATTTGTTTAAAATAACAGTGAATTAATAACAAAAATTTACCTATTTAAATTATGAGCAAATCTTGGTAAAAAGCATTTTAAAATTAACAGGGTATTAATTTTCACATATAACATATGGACTAGAAATTTTATTCATTAAATTAAAAGTCCATTAAATTGAGGTCCACAAAATCAAGGGTTTACTGTATTAACATTTGCATCATAAGGCTGCCAAAAGGAGGAGAGAGCAAGAAATTGAAAACTTATTTGAAAAAATAATGACAGAAAACTCACCATACCGGGTAAAGGATATAAACATACAAGTCCAGAAAGCACAGAGAGGCCTACACAGATGAACCCAAAGAGATACATACCAAGACACATCATAATTAAAATGCAAAAGATTAAAGACAATGAGAGAATTTTAAAAGTAGCAAAAGAGAAGCTGTTAGTAATCAACAAAGGAGATTCCATAAGGCTGGCAGTTGATTTCTAATCAGAAACCTTTCAGTCCAGAAAGGATTGGCAAGAAATATTCAAAGTGAAAAAAAGCAAAGAACCTGCAACCAAGATTATTCTAACCAGTAAAGTTATCATTTAGATTTGAAGGATTGATAAAGAGCTTCCCATACAAAGAAAGCTAAAGGAATTAGTCATCACCAAATCAGTATTATATGAAATGTTAATATTTTTTAAGAAGAAGAAAAAAGATGAAAAATATGAACAATAGGTACTGAGAGAGGATTAGAAGATGTCAGCAGAATAGGTAGACCTTTCTCCTCCCTCCTCCCAGAATCAACTGTAATTAAAACTAAATTGGGGAATATTCACCATGAAATACCAGTTGAAGACTGCCTGAAGAGAAGACATTTAAACAGGAAGGGCAGAAGCCACTTGAGACTGGTAGGAAGGGCGGGAAAGTGAGAGGTGCTGGCCCAGCTCTCAGGAGCGCTGGGCCAGGAGTGAGGAACCCTTGCCCCAGCAGGAGAGGGGATGGACATCAGGCAGAGCTCACCAGCCCAGACAGCCAGAGCTGGGAACAGTTGCCCATGCAGCAGCCTGAGCTGCTCAGAGACAAAGCCACTTTCTTTAAAGGGTTGGTGCACAGAACTTTCATTCTTAGACATTCCCCCTAGGTTTCAGCAGAGGGAAGACAGTGCAGACTAGAGTTACCTGAGGAGAGTCAGGGGTAGAAGCATTTGG